ATAATATAAACGTGGCCAAATATAAATCAAACGTTCAATCATCACTCAAAATTTAATTACAGGTTTAAAACGAGGTTCCTTCTATGACGACAAACAACCGAACCTGATTTTTTCTAATTATTCCTCTTTCTCGCCTTTCCCTCCCTCCCTTCCTCTTCTTGCCTTCTCGCTTTTTCGTACTTTTTTCCAAAACGAAATCGTAGCCATTAATTAAATTATTTGGAAATATAACAGAAACGTTTTTGTCAAGTTGTTTTGCACCTCTCCTCTCCTCTCCAAAAGGTAGACATCATCTTGTTTTGCTGTCTGATACTGTCACTCCTGAATGTACCGGCTCGTCTTCACTGGTCCTTTCCTAAATGAAAGAAAAAAAATGTAATAACAATTAGTAAAGACAAATGTAAAAACTTTATAAAAAAAAAAAAAATTTTCTGTTGTTTCATCCGCGTTCTACCTACTTACCATCGAGTAAAAACGCGCGTATTTTTTCTCTCTCTTTCTCTCTCTCTCTCGTTTTCACCTTTTCTCCACTCATCAATCTTGCAAAAAAGAAATCGTGAATTTAAATATTATCGTTCTAACCCTAAAAGGAAACTTTTTTATTTGGAATATTTCGGACGAGAAAAACTACAAAAAAAAAAGTTTCGGATGATATCGTCGGGTTAAAATCATCGTGCAATTAGCAGACGATGTCTTAAAAAAATTTTTCTACGTGAGAAAAGATGGTAGCCATCGTTGGAACTGGTGGCTTATAGATCGTCTTTTTCCTTCTTGTTCTTACGACTTCTTCGGCAAACAGCGGCGACGGTGGCAGTGGCGGCAGCGGCGTTCGTAATTTTTTTCTTTTCTTCTTTTCAACGTCACTGCCGTGACGTCAATTATTATTATTATTATTACTTCATCAATCACGAAATATTTTTTGCGCGTTTGCGGTCGAAGGCGAAGTCCGCTAGAGGAAACTCGTAGGGCGCGACGCAAGGGAAGAGCTCCGCGACGACTTCGG